ATTCTCATACCAGCTATAAAAAACAAAGTATTTCACAATGCCTTTTCAGCAATTCTGATTGTTGGGGGGGAAATTCTAAACAATAATGGTGCATCTTTTGTACAAATAATGAATGTAATCAACGTAGAGAAAAGTTAAGTAGAAATCATCTGCCTCACAGGCATTGGGAGGGGTAGGAGGGGGGTATATTGGGGCTCTTGGTGGTGAAAAATGAGTACTGGTGAAGGGAAAGGTGTTTGATCATTGTATGACCAAGACTTAAACCTGAAAGCTTTGTAACTTTTCCCACAGTGATTCAATAAATAAATATAAGAAAAAAATAAAATTATGAAAAGAAAAGTAAGGTGGAGTTCATGCCCAATTCAATCAACTAATCAGTGGCTGAATAAATAGTAGTACTCCTACATTAAAAAAAAAATAATACGGAGGGGGAGGAGGAGGAGGAGGAAGAGGTGGAAGTGGAGGAGGAGGAGGAGGAGGAGGAAGAGGAGAAGGATGAAGAGGAGGAGGAAGAGGAGGAGAAGGAGGATAAAGAGAAGGAGGAGGAGGAAGAGGAGGAGGAAGAGGACGACGACAAAGAGGAGATAAAGAGGAGGAGGAAGAAGAGGAGGAGGAGGAAGAAGAGGAGGAGGAGGAGGAAGAAGAGGAGGAGGAGGAAAAGGAGGTTAGGAGGAGGAGGCGAATGAGGAGGAGGAGGAGGAAGATGTGAAGGAGGAGGAAGATATGAAGGAGGAGGAATAGGAGGAGGAAGAGGGAGAGGAAGAGGAGGAGAACTGACTGTGCTTAGTGAGAGGTCATAAGACAAACATCATATGATCCAACTTACATGTGGTATATCAAGAAGCACATGAATTGCACTAAATAAAGCAAAAACAAACTGCATCTATAAGGTCAGCTAGTGGTTACCAGAAGGGAAAGAGGCTCCCACGCCTGCAGCCCCAGGGTGAGTGGTGCAGACCGTCCCCAGCCAGCCCCTCCTTGCTTTTTCAGTGAAGCTTTCTTCTAAAAACCAAGCTCTGTGTTTTGAAATTCAGCAAGGACAATACCTTCAGGAACTCTCACCTGAGAGGATTTCCTGAAGTCATGCCTTCGGGCTCTGCCCCTGGGCAGCTTCCGGCCATGGGACTGCAGGTACCATGGGGGCTGCCGCAAGCCAGCAAAGCCCAAAGCCCGAGGAGGTCCAGGCAGCCCCTACACTAGGGTAAGAGTCACGTGAACCCAGGTGGCATGTCTGCGGCCCTCCGCTTGACACTTGGCCTGATCCAGTGTTTGTACACCTGTTTGTAAAAACGCCGTTTCTGGGGCTGGAGATAAGACATGCCAGGTTTGATGGAGATAAGCCTGGCTTGATCACCTGCCCCACATATGTTCCTGGCACCACTGAGGCTCACTCCCAAGCCGAGGCAGAAACAGTCCCTGGGCACTGCCAGAGACACTCTGTGCACAAGGTTGAGTGGATTGGGAGGGCCAAGAAGGTGCATTTTGCTGAAAGGGCGTCGCTAGAGCAGGCGGAAAACTGCTGGAGACAGCGGGCCAGGGCCTCTTCGGACAGTTCTCCCTGAGCGTACCCAGCTCGGCACGGAGCCAGGCCAGGAAGTCACCAATTTTTTGGTCTTAAGTTCTTCTGACCTTAGGGACCTCCACAATGAATCAGGACACCACCCCCACTCCCCACCCTAGGAACCATGATGAGAGCCAGGCTCCCCTGGGAGCTGGGGAGAAGGCGGTGGGCAGGGCCACTCCACACGTGGACAGGAGCACGTGGATGTGCGGCCAGGGAACCTGCATTGGCACAGTTTCCAGGGGCAGCCACTGTGTGCAGGTGGGTCCACAGCCCCTGAGAGAAACCAAGGGTCTGAGTGACCTGTCCCTGGCCAGCGCCCACGGACAACTGACCTGGCTGCGGCTCAGGTCCAGCCCCCCCCCACGCGACTGCCCCCATGGGGACACCCACTGAGCCCAGGGCTGCCCCCCACGGAGGGCCCCCAGAAGACAAGCCTGCTGTGCCTCTGGATGTGGGTGTGGCGTCTGCCGGGAGGGGCAAGGGAGCAGGCGCCCCTTCCCTGACAGGCCTGGCGGTGAGATCAGACAGACAAACGCGACACAGGTGTACAAACAGAACCCCACTTTATTAGTAGTTAGTTCAAGATTGTACATTAATGGAGGAAGCACAACCCTGAACAGCTGGTGGGAAGAAGCGGGAGCGCCCCTGCACCCCTCGGCCGGCCTCCCTCCCCCATGTGTCCCACCTTCTCTGGTCAGCTCTCTCCCTTCCCTCGGAAATGACATGAATTTCATGCACAAATTACAAAAGGAGCCCTCTAGGTGATGCCGGAAGCCATCAGGGTCCTAGACCCCTGCCCACCCCCCTTCTCCTCCAGGGTCCGCAGAGGAGGGCAGGCAGGTGTGGGGCCCAGCGCCGGCCCAACCCCCCTCTCCTCCTGTGGGAGCTGGAAAGATCTCCGGGAGCCCAGTGGCCACGCCACCACCCTGCCTCCCACGGCCCCATCTTCATCCTCTGCAGGTGGAACCCCGGGGGCTCCACAGAGGGAGCAAACTGTCCAGCAGCTACGAAATGTCCCCCAGGCAGGACAAAGCTGCCTCGGGCACCCCGAGCTCCTCCAACACCAGCACGGAGCCCTCTCCTAGGGTATCCGGGGGGCTGGGCTGGGCTCCAGGCACACAGAACACAAGTCTCCAGGAAGTGAGATCCAGAGAGCATGAAGACAGAGACAGAAACAGAGAGACAGAGAGACAGAGAAAACAGAGATGCTTCGAGGGCCTGCACCCATCACCCGGATCTGAGACGTGGCTCAGCTTCCTCTGCTGCCATGTGCCGACTCCTCCCATTCCCCCCACCTGCTGCCCTCCCTGCCTCGCCCTCAATGAGCTCCCAGAGGACACCCCTCCCCAACACACACACACACACACACACACACACACACACACACACACACACCCTCACCCACCTCCTGCTCCTCTGCTGCTTTGGCACTTGGTCTGGGAGACAGTAGAGGGCTTCTCGGGCTGAGCTGGACTGTCCAGCCGGAACTACCACTGAGGCGGGGAGGGGGCGCTCCCCCAGGAAGCGGCTTATGAGCCTTCAAGATGCGACCACGCCACTGACATAGACACCAAGCGGGGCGAGCCCATCCCAACACACCGGGAAAGGTCGCTGACACTGTGCTGCCCGTCGCCTGGCTCCATAGGAACAGGAATGCCTACTTCTCTTCAAGTCAGAGTTACATGGAGGAGGACTTTTCAGCATCCAGATTACAGAGACACTGGTACAAGGGCCGGACGTGCACCTCGGCCGGGCCCTGAGCCCAACACCAGGCTGGAACATGGGGCTCTAACAGCACGCAGAGCAGCGAAGGGCTTCTTAGGGGGCTGCGGGTGCCTCAGGGTGACACGGGGCCAAAATGTAGGCGCCCACCTGGCTCAGGAACACAAAATTTCCATACTCCAGGGGACGGTTTCGAGATACATACATGTATCCAGGGGCCGTGTGCATGTGTGTCCGTGTGTGTGTGTGTGTGTGTGTGTGTGTGAAATGCTTAAGTGGGTCAGCGCCCACTCAAGACGCTGCACCCAGTGGCCTCCAGGAGGAAGGTCTAAGTCTGCACAACCACTGAGAGCCCCAAGGGGGGTGGGGGGAGGGATGAGGTCTCCCCCTCCCCCAGAACCAGGCAGCAGAAGCTCAAGAAAATTCCTCCAGGGAAAGGGATGAAGTAGCCGCGGCCAGACGCAGACCATGGTCCTGAGCCCCCAGCTGGGCCGGGACACAAGTGCCAAATGTCTCTGTCCCTCGAGTCTCACATCTGTTTGTTCTCTCCACGAGCCAGAGGCAGGAAGCTTTCAGACCCCTAGGACAGGTTCCAGATGTGGGGCTGCAAACCCTCACAGCTGGTCATTAGGCCGAGCTCATGGTGAGTCGTTCCTGGGCACGCATGCTCCGGGCAGCAGCGGAGAACGCAGGTCTCTGCAGACCGACTCCTCCTTCCCCGAGCAGCAGAGGGGAGCAGGGCCTGGCCCGGCAGGCACTCGGCACTCGACAGACAGACCCAAGGCCCCTGCAGGCCGGGGAGCAATGCTGGGGGGGCGGGGTGGGAGGGCAGGCAGAGCAAGACAGGGCTGGGAATACAGATTTGCAGCTGAGAAGGCTCAAAGGCACCCTGGCTGGGAAGGAGTGGTTTGTCCCCATAATCCTGGAGCGACCAAGGGTGTGACGAGGAAGGGACAGGAACCTGGCCCAGGTAGGCCCCCCGGGACAGGCTCAGAGGCAGTGTGGCACTGGAAGAAGAGTTCCGGGCTTGGGCACACGGCCCACAGCTGCATTCTTGGCCTGCTCCCACCAGCTCTGTGACGCTAGCACGGAGGCCACCCCCTCTTTCTGAGGATGCATCCAGCCCCCCACTGCTAGCGCTTTGGAACAAGACAAGGCTCTGCAGAAAGGATTCCCGGCAACAGTTCAGAGCTGAACTGGCAGTGGGACGGGGGTGGGGGTGGAGGAGCGGGGGGAGGGGGAGAGGGGGGAGAGGCAGGCAGGGAGGCACCCAGGCCTCAGTCACTTCACATTGTTCAAAGGAGGAGGGAAGGAGCAGACCAAACCCAGAAGCTAGGCCCTAGGCCTGCTGTCTGCAGAGGGCCCCAAGAGCCGCCGGGGCGGGGGGCAGGGGGCGGGGGGGGGGGGGGGGCCGGTGCACCTCCAGCTCCCAGCCTAGCACCATGTGAGGGGAGGGGGTGAGGGCCAGTCCCATGCGTCCTACCCGGGCCCGGCTGCCTCCGTGGGCCCCCAGCGCCCCAGCACCCCTGGGCTTCACAAAGCCAGATTTCCTGGAGAGCAGAGAGCCACGGCTGTCCCTCGGGAAGACACAGCATTAAGACAAGCAGCAAAGGCCTCCCCGAGCCCGGCCACACGGGGGCACAGCCCCGCCCCCGCCCCCAGCGCTGAGCTACCTTCCCCCTGCCCCGTTTTGTACAAGTGAATCAAAAACAAACCAACCGAAAAATAGAATATATATGTACACATTACATATGCATACATATACACACATATATAGGTACAGACATGTGTATGTGTGTATGTGTGTGTGTATGTGTGTGTGTGTATATATGTATATATATATATACACTTTAAACACAGTGTGACCCCAGCACCCAGGTATAAACTCTGGCACCAAGAAAAAAAAACAGATTATTAAAATACTTTAGCTTCTTAGTATTGGGGAGGTTAGGGGGTGTCCGGAACTCCTTGGCCGGTGGTAGCTGGGCAAAGCGGCAGCTGGGTCTCACCCACGATGCCCAGTGCCTCTCGGGGCCACACTGGGAGGCAGAGGGACACGTATGTACATGGGCAGGTGTGTGACGGCCAGTCTGTAACCACAGGAAACACCACTCTCGTCGTCGTCGTCATCGTCCTATCCCAGAGTGCAGAAGGGGCCAGGGCTGGGTGGTGGTGAGCCGCGGCCCCGTCCTGAGGAAGGCCTGGGAGCGGGCCCTGTCGGAACCAGAGACGGTCTCTCCCCTGAGGGACGGTGAGCTGTGGGAGTCTAAGCAGGACTCTGCAGAGTCGTGTCCTGGCACTCGGCGGGGCCCCTCGGCAGGGCCTGGCTCGGAACAAGTCAGGAGATGTCCAGTCTCTGTCCCTGGTTTGGCAAGAGCCCCCTCTGGGCGCTTCTCCCCCACTGTCTGGAGGACAGGGACAGTCCGGCAGCTAATACTGAGGGACTGAGGGCAGGTACGATGGGGAGAACACAGTGAGGACAGAGAGAGGATCCATCCGACTCCCTCTTACCAGGAAGTGGCCCCCGAGACAGGCTGGGGACAGCATGAACCTCTGGTGGCCGGAGGTCCAAAGGCCCACGCTGGGCGCCCGGTGCGCGTGGTGCTGCCCCTGCCAGGCCCACGTTGTATTGCTAAGTGCTGCTGGCCGGCTGGTCCCCACCCGCAGGCCGCAGTCTGGCTCAGCGTGCGGCGGGAGGTCCCTGCCGTCACCAACGTTGTGTCTGACAGTGCTGGCCATGGCTACCTGGTGTTCTGGAGGTCCTCCCGCAGCCAGGTGGGCAGGGTCTGGCCCATCTTGTACAGCAGCTTGGACAGCTCCACATTGTGTTCCCGGTAATAGTCCTTCAGGAAGGTGCGGGACTGCAAGGGGAAGGAGAGCTCAGCGCCCCGCTGAGAGCTGGGCCCTCCTCTTCCGCCTCCTTCTCCTCTTCCTCTTTCTCTTTTTCTCCTCCTCCTCCTCCTCCTCCCAAGACCACTGCCTCCTGGTGCCTGCCACCCACATGCCTGCACCCCCCACACACTCTGCACACACACATACGCACACACACAAACACACACATGTCCACACCCTTCATGCATACACACACACACATGCCCGCACACACACCCTGCACACACACACACACACACACACGCACATGCCCTCACCCTGCATGCACAGGCGCACCCTCATGCACACACACACCCTGCACACACATGTGTGCTCACGCACACACACACACACACACACACACACACACACACACCCTCCTACTCTGCCTAATCCTGTGAGATTGCAGTCACGGTCCCTGTGCAGGGAGTGGATCCAGGGAAGCACAGCAGGCGGGTAGGGACCAGCAGAGGGCCACCTTGGGCGCCCCTCCCCTACATTCACACACACACACATGCCCGCACCCCACAATGCACACACACACACACACACACACACACACTCCTACTCCGCCTAATCCTGTGAGATTGTAGTCACAGTCGCTGTGCAGGGCGTGGATCCAGGGAAGCACAGCAGCAGGCAGGGACCCGCAGAGGGACCCCTGTGCGCCCCTGCGCCTCCCTCCCCCCGCTGGGCTCCTTGCAGCCGCCTCCTCTGAGAGCCCTTCCCTGCATCCCAGTTTCGCCTCCCTGTTCATCCAGCAGTGTGTCCACCACTTACATCCAAGTCCATTTCTGGGTATTTCCGGCCCTTGCTTTTGCCCAGACACTTGGTTTTTCCTCCTTCAAGCAGTTGGCACCAAAATCCTTTCTTTGGATCAAACCTGTAGAGATGGGGAAAGGCTGAGTGAAAGCTGGCCTGGCCGCTTTCCCACCGCAGGCCAGGCTCTCAGCCCCAGGGTGCATGTGGCTGACCCCCACGTTCTGCCCCCAGTTCCAGTGAGGGCAGCTTGTACACTCTGGGACCCGCATCCCCCAGACAGTCCAAGTGCCCGCCAGAGATAGACACACACACCAGCCCCACCGGAACCCTGGGGGCCCTTCTATTAGCATCGCTAATAGAGTAAGCCTCGTTTCATTCTCCAGTCCCAGGGAACATTCTAGGTCACAGCCGGCGATGCTCAGGGGTCCCTCCTGGCTCTGTGCTCAGGAATTACTCCTGGTGGTGTCTGGGGGACCATATGGGATGCCAGGGATCAAACCTGGGTCAGACACATGCAAGGCAAATGCCCTCCCCACTGTTCTACTGCTCCAGTCCCAACCGAAGGCTCTTTTTTAAAAAAAAAAATTGTTTTTGTTTGGGGGCCACACCTGGTGGTACTCAATGGCTTGCTCCTGGCTCTAGTGTTCAGGGGTAGGGCTCAGGGAACCATATATGGTGCCAGGGACCAAGCCCAGGCCAGCTATGTCCTGGCTGTCCTCCCGCTGTCCTGTCATTCCAGCCCCCTTTTCTGTTCTTAGCAAGCTCTATCTTCCCTGGGCCAGGGGGCGGACTGGAAGGGCTGTGGTGTGAGCCTGGCTGCCCTCCCTCCTCCAGCACGGGGAGAAGGGAACATTTCTGCCTGGGAATTTCCAAGAAGTGACTCTTCCTCTCCCATCCAGCCTCCCTCAGCGGTCACCATGGCCCCACCCCTGAAGCGTAAATCAGTTTAATGAGAAGAAACCCGAGTTTGTGGGGCCTGAGGCTGCTCACTGCTGGTCTGACAGTGCTCAGCCGGAACTGACGAGAACCTCCCAGGGCTGGGAGAGAGCAGAGAGGAAGGGCTCAGCACATCCCTCTCTCCTCACGGCCACATCGGGGACATGCACGCCTCTCGCCCTTGCTGCCTCGAGCCAGCCTGGACCACCACTCGGATCTGCTGAGAGAGAGCAGCAACACTCACGCCAGGGTCTTGTGGTAGTCGATGGTGTTGGTCACTCCGAGGAACTTCTGCACCGTGTCCATCACTTTGGCAGGTTCTGTCCGCAGCAACTTGCCGTCCAGGACCAGAATCTGCCCGGGAAAGAGATGTGGGGAGTGTGATCGCATCCACTCCCAATCAACGCCAGAAACGGCTCCATTCCCCGACCTCTGGAGGGCAGGGGTTCCAGGGCCTCAGTCTATCTCCCTGCTCTTGGCTCTGCCCCCCTGCCAGGGCGCTTGTCCAAGCCTAGGCCCCTCACTGCCCACAGACCACTCACCACGGGCCCCCCTGAAACGTTCCATGTCCTCTGACCAGCTGGGCTCTCCCAGTCTGCAGTCCTTTCTCAGGGTACCCCAGGATGTCCCACAGGGACATCTAGCCAGTCACAGCAGGGCAGGGCTAGTGAGTCCCACAAAGCGCAAAGGCCCTGGGCAGCTGGGAGTGGCCTGGAAACGTTGTGCCGGATACCACCCAGCCAGGACTGCAGTGGCCCCCAAGGGGCCAGGTGGGGGCTGGCACTTACCTGGTTGGCATGGAAGGCGCTGAGCCAGCGCTCGATGTGGGTGGCATACCAGCCGGGCACCAGGCAGCGGCTCTGGAGGGCACGCAGCTTCACCGACGCCTCAGGCCCGGCCGTGATCACCTCGTGGAAAGTGTACTTGAGGGCCACTGGGTCATCGTGGGCTCTCTGATGCTGCAGGCAATGAGAGGGGTCAGCATGCCCCCCAGCGCGGACAGTGGCTCTGGTGTGAGGGAGCCTGAAGTTCTGGGCAGCAGCAGGAGCCAGGGTGGAGCCCGGGCCCGCTCTCATCCAGGGTCACCTTGGGGCCTGTGCCGCCCGCTTCTGAGAACTGTACGGGACAGCGGCCATTCACACCGCATCTCCAGGACACCGCATCTCCAGGACTTCTCCACCTGCACACCTCTGTGAACCTCTCCTGACTGAGCTCTCCTTCTCAGGAAAACAACCATGAGCCTCTTTCCAACACCAGCCAGATACGGTGGCCCAGAACCAGAACCCCCAAGGGCACGCTTGTTAGAAGCAGAATTTAGCAGTGTTAGAAAGGACAGGAGCTGCTTCTTCATAGAAATCAGAAGGTCTTATGGACTGAACGTGTCACCTCACCAACAGTCATAGGTTGAAGCCCACCATGCGTGTGTGCGCGCACAAACACATATACATACATGCAGGCACACGGAAAAAAATGCACAGACACAAAGTACACACACTCATGCACGGACACATGCAGACACACACAGACACACACATATATACACACATGCAGGACACACGCATGCACACACACACATGCAGACACGGACGTGCACACACATACACATATGCACACACACATGTGCACAAATGCAGACATGCACATGCACGCATACACACATACACACACATACGTATGTATTCACACACAGAGACACTCTCCCATGCAGAGGCGGGACCCTTGGTGGGCAACGAGGCTTGGGCAGACCCTGGAAGGAGATGCCTGAGTCCTGTCAGTCACTTGAAGGCTCAGTGGGCGGGTCTAGGCGTCCAGAGCGAAGATGGCCCCACCAGCCAGCACCTCCCCCAGAACATTCTCAGCCTCCAGCTCTAAGGAGAGAGGGCCCATAAGTTGAGACCAAATTCGGCAGTGGGCGTCCAGAGCGAAGATGGCCCCACCAGCTGGCACCTCCCCCAGACCATTCTCAGCCTCCAGCTAAGGAGTGAGGGCCCGTAAGTTGAGACCAAATTCTCACACCTCTAACCCCTTTCTTTTCACCCAACAGAGGCAACCCCAGAAATACTGCTCAAGATTCATGAGGCATTTAATCAAATTAGTGCTTCGTTGTTATGCACGCAGAAACATTCACTGTTGTCAATTCTTCTGCGGCCCCCACATTCAATTACGTGACCCACAGTTTAAGAAGTCAGGGTTTGGGAGCCGGAGCGATAACACAGCGGGTGGGGAATTTGCTTTGCATGCAGCCAACCCAGGTTCAATCCCCGGCATCCCATAAGGTCTCCTGAGCACCTCCAGGAGTGATTCCTGAGCGCAGAGCCAGGAGGAACCCCTGAGCACCACCGAGCGTGGCCCCAAAACAACAAAAAAAGGAATCGGGTTTAAACCACCGGTCCATGCTACTTTGCTATGGCCAAGCTGAGCTACGGATTGGGAAATAGCTGGAAAGGGCAAAGGCCAGGTCTGTGCCACCTCAGATAATGTAGCGGGCTCAAGACAAGGGGTGGGTAGACAGCACAGTGGGTAAAGCGCCTGCCAACCAACTGGGTCTGGTCTGGTTCCTGGCACCACGTATGGTCCCTTAAGTACTGCCAGGAGTGACCCCTGCGCAGAGAGCCCTGAGCACAGCAGGATGTGGCCACAAAACAAAATCAAAAGACATCTGCAGAATCCCCAAAGTTCAGGACAACATAAATCCAGCCGCCAGAAGGCAGCCCAGCCGCCGCTCCACCCACACAGCTGACACACAGCTGGGGGAGGTGATAATGGAAAGAACAGCTTCCTCCCTCCAGCACGGGCCACCTTCCAGCACCTTCCTGGCCCTGTGGGTGGGAATCCAGCTCCCTTCTCTTTACCACCTTGACCGTGGACAGGAGGGGCAACTGGGCCTTGGGCAAAGTCCTGGGTTCAAACTGGGATGCGCCCGGCCTGAGAGACAGGACAGGCGGTGAGACGCTCGTCTCTTCTGCGGCTGCTTTGGCCAGTTCGGTCCCCACTACTCCGGAGCACAGTCAGGAGTAGCCCCTATGCACTGCAGGGTACAGTCCCCCCCCAAAAATAAACTTTTGCTGGTTACTTGCTCACTGGTCCTTGGCACTCACACCAAGGGTGTGTGATGTGCCAGTGAGGGGCAGAGGCAGGGCTGCCCCCCATAAAGCAGACAGCAAGTGGGGGTCCAGGAGAAGGGGGGCACGGGAAGGGGGAGGGACCCCAGTGCGTATTTGTGGCTTATTTCCAGGGAAAAAGAAGACTTGGGACGCAGAAGCAGGAGGAAGAGGAAATGGAGGAGGAGGAAGATGGGAGGAGAAAAAGAGGAAGAGGAGGACGAAGAGGGGGAGAAGGAAGAGAAGAGGAGGAGGAAAAGGAGGAACAGGAAGGAAGGGAAGGCAGGGGGGAGGGTAAGGGAGGAAGATAGGGAAGAGGAGGGGAGGAGGGGAAGGGAAGCAGAGGGGGAGGCGGAGGGGGAGGGCGGGGAGGGCTATAGGAGTGGCACCGGGAGCCTGCCCGAGTCTCCTGCCCGCACGTAGTCCAGCCCAGGCCCAGGGGAAGCCTCTGGCACACAGAGCAGCAGCCTGGAGTGTGCCATAGAGCGCCAGAAGCGGCCAGGCCTCAAGAAGCCTTGGGGCTGGAGAGGAGACCCAAGGCCAAATTCCTGGCAGCGGGGATGACCAGGAAGACCGGCAGGCCAGGGCGAAAACACTCAGGAAGGCAGAGCCTAAACTCTCCTGTCGGCCTCTCTGAGCAGAGCCAGGAGAAGCGACGTCGGCTCCCCCGAACCTCAGAGTCCCAGCTCTCAGTGCCAGCGAGGCAGGACTTGGCACACCCTGGCACCAACCGCAGCCTCATGATGAGGTGCTGACTCCTCCTAGTGCCCGGGGCCGGGCTCCTCCCTCACGGACACCCTGGCACCCCCAGCACCTGGTGGTGTGCTCACGACACGGACCCCTAGAGCCTGGTGTCAGGATGAGGGGCCGGGGCCCCAGGCACAGCGTGGAGAGTGGGCAGTCGAGGCTAACCAGCCTGGGCCCTGGGAGGGGCTCGGTGAGTCGCTGTGGAAGGCGGGGCAGCCCCTGGAGTCCCCGCCAGCCCCCACTCACCTGGTACCAGGAGTAGGCCCTGTCAGCGGGGTTGATGAGGATGGTCAGGATTTTGGCCTTGGGCAGCAGCGCAGCTGCCCGCCGGGGCGCCACTTCCGAATCAAAGTAGTTGGCGCTTTTCTCGAAGTAGAAATCAGAGGTGGTGTTGGAGGGGATAGGGAAGAACTCCATGTACCTGCAGGGATCAGGGGCCAGAGGCGGGGTCAGGGGCGGCCTGGGGAGGGTGTGGGGCTCCCACCCAACCAATGCCTCTGGACCACAGAAGGTCTACACCTAGAGGGCCCAGCCCTAACACAGCCGCCAGGGGTCAGGCTGGGCAATGCTCAGTGGAGGAGAGTGGGGGCCACTCTGGCTCCGGGGCAGCTCCCTCCAGGCTTGCCCCCCCACAGGAGCAGACCCCTCACATGGAGCCAGAGAGAATGTCCACACCAACTCAGTTGGACCAGCTCTGGGCTTAAGACCCCACAGAATAACAAACGGACACTCCAGAGCCTGCCTCCCACCTCCAGGGAACATACTCATTAGAAACAACAGGCGCACAGGGCTCCCGGGGACCCAGACCACAAGAGACCCCTCAGTCACGGGGCAGCTTCCTGCTCGCTATGGACGGGCTTCTCCAGCGTGGTCGGGGGACCCCTTCATCCACACCATTTAGGACTGGTCCCAGCACCCCGCCCTAGTCCTCCTTATAAAACCAAAACCTGGGGAGTGGGGGTGAGCAGCTGCTGGCTCTATGGCCTTTCAGAACTTTCTTTGTGACACAGTACCTGTGCCCACAGACCCTAGGCTGACAAAGCTCTGAAAGCAGATGCTTTCCCCGAGTCTTGGGCACAGCCCACGTTAACAGTCCCCCTGGCTGAGTCTTCACTTATGGCGCCAGGGGCTAGGCATGCTTATGCAAACAGCGGCTAGGGAGGACACAGGTCAGCCTATACTCCTCGGGCATTCAGTGAACGATGACTTTTATGATTCATTCCATCAGTAGGCTTTAGATTAGTGTGGCTGGTTACGGGCAGAGACAGACAGACAGGCAGCCAGACAGGCAAACAGAGAGACCACAGATGGCAGAGAAGAAATAAACACAGAAAAGTGCTGGAACGGGGGTGGGGGGGAGAGGGGGAGAGAGAGAGAGAGAGAGAGAGAGAGAGAGAGAGAGAGAGAGAGAGAGAGAGAGAGAGAGAGAGAGAGAACCACCTGGGGTGGGGCCTTTGTCTTGCACACAACTGACACAGGTTCAATCCCTGCCACCCCCTATGGTCCTCCAAGGCCATCAGGAGTAATTTCTGAGTGCAGACCCAGGAGTAAGTCCAGAGCACTGCTGGATGTGGTCCAGACCACACCCCAAAAAATTCCCCCTGAAAAAAGAAATACACCAAAACAGGAGCCAGAGAGATAATATACCATGTAGGGTATTCGATTCGCCTTGCACGTAGCTGCCTGAGTTCAACCCCCAGCATCCCATATGGTCCCCCACAATAGCCAGGAGTGATTCCTGAGCACAGAGCAGGAGTAAACCCTAAGCACTGCCAAATGTGACCCCAAAACAAACAAACAAAAAAAGAAAAATGCTAAAACGAACAAAAGAAAGTTCATCATCTCTCTGCTGACATAAGAACGACCAACAGGGCAGGAACAATAGGACAGCAGGGAGGGCAACTGCCTTGCTTGAAGCTGACCAGGTTCAATCCCCAGGATCCCAAAGGGTGCCCTGAGCCCTACCAGGAGAGATCCCTGAGCACAGAGCCAGGAGGAAGCCCTGAGCACAGCCAGGTGAGACCCCCTCAAAAAAGGGAGGTTTGACACTGGTGAGGCGTGTAGACTGCGGGAAAGACCAGTACTTAAGGGAGACCATGCCCTCCAATTCCCCCCCTCCCACCCCACCATCCCTCCTCCCCTCCCCCCACCCCGCCATCAGTCCTCTGGAGGGTCCTGGAGAGACCCTATAGGCTGAACACCCACCCCTCTCCAACCATAGCTCCGAAAGGCTAGAGCTTCTGACGGGCCCAGCGCGCCTGGGCCACAGCCAGACAAGTCCACTGGGAAACAGGCCCTGGCCCTGCTGTGTCTCTCTGGCTTGGGGTCACAGGGGGAGTCCTCTGCCCGCCCAGGACTGGGGGTATTCTGCTACCCCGGGTGACCACCCAGAGGCGCCAAGGCCTCCCGCATTGTGTTCTGTCTGTGACAAGGCTCTGACATGATGACTCAAGGGTGGCCACGTGTGGTCCCTGTTTACAGAAGCATCCGCTGTGTGTGAGCAAGCCCGAGGTGCTTCCTGCTGCGGCCCAGAGAGGCGCTCGCTGGTCGCCGGCCCACTCACCAGTCAATGCCTTTGTGATAGTTGTGCCCGTTGAAGAACTGGATCTCCTCGAATGTCTCGGAGCTGGGGTAGTTGCTGCTGAGGTCCGGGTGCATGCCGAGGAACAGGTATAGGGCCGTGGTGCCTATGGGTCAGGAGGAAGCAGCAGAGATGGGGGGGTGAGATTCTGGGCTCTGGCCCTCGCCCACCACACTCTGCACCGGGGACCCTAAGCACACCCCTTCCTAGGGCAGAGGACGCACAGCACACGCCTCCCACCCTGCACCCCGAGGGCCCATTCCTAAATCCACCCAGTGCGAACCAACTCGCAGCCTCAGAACCCTTTCACGCACTGTACCCCAACAGCCATGCCCTTCCGGCCAGATTCCCGCTGACCTTCAGCTCTGGGCCTCTAAGTGCACGGGCATTCGAGGGGGACTCGGAGGAAAGGGAGCTCCAGGTGTTCAGGGAACCCTATCACAATACTCCCTCTCCGGCGAGACTTTTGAAGGTCCATGGAGCTTAAGCGCAATAGACACCTCTCCCGGGGTCCCATCAGCCCTCCCTCTCCCTCTCCTCAGGGGCCCGTGACCGGCTCGCATGCGACAGGGAGGGTGCCCTGAAGACAGGAGCGGTTCTGGAGCTTGGGAGTGAAGAATGGCACCTTTGGGGGTTCGAGAAATAATAGTACGGTGGGTAAGGCTGAGCCGGGTTTAGTCTCCAGCAGCGTATATGGACCCCTGAACACTGTCAAGAGTCACTCCCCCGAGCACAGAGCCAGGAGTCAGCCCTGAGCACAGCCAGATGTGGCTTGGAAACAAACAAAAAGACTATAAGGTGTAGGGCCACAGACCCGGGTCTGCATTCCCTAAGTGAGTAGAAGTCAATCAGCTGCTCCGAGCCTGGGGGATTCTGTCTGTGAAAAGGGGCACCTGCCTTACAGCGTGTGGCTGGCACACACACGTGGCAACCCTGTCACCACTTCTCTCCAACAGCTCTGGCATAGGGGGTCCGGTGTAGGGTGGGCGTTCGCATGGAGACAGTCTTTCCCCGCACTGCCCAGACCCAAGGCAGCAGCTGGCAGGAGTCCTGCCCACTCTCCTCCTACCCTGACGTGGACAAGCAGTTCATGGTCCCCCCCAACCTTCCTCCTAGGAAAGGGAGTGGGCCCACGCATGGTGGCCCCAGAACGCAGTGCTGATGCTGAGGGCTCAGGGGGGCTGAGACATGAAGGGACCTGCCTGTTTTCTGGGGGCCAATGATGAGGAGCTTTGGGAAGCGGTCACATGTCTTCTCCTTGGACCAGATGTCTTTGTGGCGTTTGTCCTCACAGGGGTCCTAGAACAACAGAGGGAGGGCAGTTGGGGGTACTGCGGTTCTCCTGCACATGGACAGGTGCGGGAAGTGCCCCAGCCCCGCACTACAGTGGCTGAGCGTCATGTCAGCTCTTCATCTGCCCATGGTGGTCGGCCACGTGGGGGCCTCAGCAGCATGGTGAGCCGCATCTGAACTTCATCTCTGCAAACTTGCCTGCAAAGCTTTGTAAATCTTTCAGTAAACGTTTACTTAATATTTTAGACTTGGGTCCCATCCACTCTGTTGTAACTAAAATGATCCCCGATTTTAATGAAGCTTCAACTTACAATTTTTCAACAGTGCAAAGCAATAGACAGTCCCAATTACTTGGAAATTGGGAGTGGGGAGGAGGGCTGGATCACATCTGGTGGTGCTCAGGGTCTATTCCTGACTCTGTGCTCAGGGGTCACTCCTGACAGTGCTCAGGGGGCCCTGGGGATCTAGGAATCGCACCAGGGCCTTCTGCAGGCAAAGCAGGAACTCAGTCCTTTGAGCCCCCTCTATTCCTCACTTGGACTTTCCGGTGAGGATGTTCTGCTTTCCATTTTCAGTTATGCATTTAATAAGTCACACAGTACAAAGCTTTGTTTACAAGGTTTTGCCCAGCAGTAAGACTGCTGTGAAAGCGCATGTGAGAAAGACCTAGGTGCTGTTGCTAGGTGTAGCATAAACCAATTTGTTACTTATGACTGGTTTTTGGGATGTAATCCCGTCTCAGTCAAAGGGGGCCCGTGCTCAGCTCTGCTGTTAGAACATGGAGCATACAGTCAGGATGAGCGTGGCTGGGCCAGGCAAACTTGACCTACAGAAGGAGACTGCAGGGGTCAGATAGACAGTGCAGGGTAAGGCTGGCCTGTCTGGCACACAGCCGACCCCGCCTCAATCCCCTAACACTGCACTGTCACACCTGAGCACAGAGTTTGGAACAGTACTGAGAGAACTGGGTGTGGACCCAAAACACACAGCTACACCTATACACACATACACATACGCACAGACATACACACACAGAGCGAGAGAGAGAGAGAGAGAGAGAGAGAGAGAGAGAGAGAGACAGAGAGAGAGAGAGAGACAGACAGAGAGAGACAGAGAAAGAGAAAGACAGAGAGAGAAGCAGCAGGACAGATGTGGCCGCAAGTCAGATTTGCAATTTGCAGGTCCCTAACCTAAACTATACAGAACATCCATTGATTGCAGTCTCTGGTTTTGTTTTTGTGTTTGTTTTTGCTTTGTTTTGGGGCCACACCTGGCAAGCAATGCTCAGGGGAACTCCTAGCTCTGCACTCAGGAGTCACTCCTGGTGGTGCTTAGGGGGCCCTACGGGATACGGGGGATTAAACCCAGGTGGGCAGTGTGCAAGGCAAGAGCTCTACCTGCTGTGCTATGGCTCCAGCCACATGCTCAAAACCCAGACTCAACGAAACTGAAACCAGGAGATCTAAGCTGCAACCACTGGAACTCTGGGAAGTGCCTGCCTGTCAAGTTGACAGGCGGGGATGGGGCGGGGGCTTGGGGTGGGGAGGGAATACGGGAACAATGGTGGAGGGAAGTGGACACTGGTGGTGGAACTCGTACGAAAATACTATCTGCCTAAAACTCAGCTCTCAACAACTTTGTAAATCACAGCTCTTAAACGAAAAACAGAAACAAAAACAAGCTGACGGCAGAGCGGGACCCCAGCAGGTGCGTCTGGGTCTGGAGTTCGGCTCCCTACGTGCTCCCTGGAGCCTCTCGTACTCCCCCAACCCACAAGTGTCCGGTGTGGGGAAGGCCGTGCTCTGAACACCAGCTGGAACCACTGCATCAAGTCTGGCACCAACCAGTGGGTACGTGTGGCAGCCAGACACCAGGCTCCCGAGTCCAGCAGCCCCCAGGAGCAGCTTTCCCCCAGAACACCCCCCCCCACCCCAGGCCCCCGAGCACCAGCAGAGGTACAGACAGGGCTGTAAGGGGCTGAGGCCGCAGACCTGGAGGCTGCCCGCATGCCCTGCGCCGTGCCCACCGGCAGTCTTTCCCCGCTGCTCACGGCACACGTGAGCGGCCCTGGGACATGGGGGTATGGGAAGCCCGCGACCAGGAGGTGGGCTTCTGTCTCACCTGCCAGAGTGGGTCCTTCTCCTCAGAGAAGATCTGGAAGTACTTCTGGGCCAGCTGCACGGGGGGCAGCGTCTGCAGCCTCAGGTTGGTCCAGGTGTGCAGGAAACGCACCAAGTGCCGGAAGGTGTACAGGCCCAGACGGTCGTTGCCGTAGTTGGACAGGTGCGTCATGAAGATGCTGATCTGTACCAGGGGTGAGGGGGGTGCTCAGCTCTCGGCTACCCCTTCAGCCGGCCGGGCCACGGGGTCCACCAACAAAGCCCTGCGAGCCCCAGGCTGGAGAGCTGAGGGGCCCAGGGACGGGCGGGCCAACACTCTCAGCCCCCGAGGCCCGCATGCACCGGACTGGGGGCCCTGGTTCCCCGGGGAGTGCTGGGGAGCAACGCGGGAAGATCAGGAGTAAAGAGTTATTCCAGATGATATCTCAGTGAGCCATCATGGATTATTTCTACCTTGTAGGGTAGGAACAGGAACCCCAGAAGGCTCTGGTGAAAAGCGTTTAAGTAGAACATTAGTACACTAGTGTGTGACACATCTCATACACTATTGTGACTCTGACCATGTCATATTTTATTTGGTTTTTGTTTGGAGGGACACATCTGACGCTGCCCAGAGCTTACCCCTGGCTCTGTACTTAGGAATCACTCCCGATGGTCTTGGGGTAGGGCGCCACATATGATGCGGGGCTAGAACCTGGGTGAGCAGCATGCAAGACAAGCCCCTTACCCACCCGTGCCGTCTCTTCAGTCCCCGGGGGACACTGATGTGTGTCACAGGCACACTGACGAGCGATAACAAACACCTAAGCAGGGACTGGAGAATGAATGGAGATGACAGGCTGACTCCAGCACCCAAGGGCAAGGCTGTGAGGAGAGGGGCACAGGGCCAGGCTGCGCAGGGCCCAGCACGCACCGGGTTAAGGAGCACGGTGAGGAAGAGCTCGCCGCCGTTGATGATCTTGTCCAGCTCGCCGGGGCCCCCCGGGTACTCGCTGTAGAAGATGGTATGCGTGAAGAGGCCGCAGGTCTGCCGTGGAAGGACCTGGGGGCGACGGGGAGCTGTGGGACCCCAGGCCTGGACGCTTCCTCGGGACAGTGACCAGTGTCCCTCTGGAAGTGCCCCAGGATCTTGGTCCCTGTGCCATCCCCCAGGGAGCCCAGTGGCTGTTCTTTGCACAAGTGGGAAGGAAGGGGGGGATGTTTCCTGACATGTGGGCTGCCGGCCACTCTCCCATCCCTCGGCACCTCATGCTGAAGCCAGCGAGTCAAGAGCGTGCCTCCCGCCCGCCCCCCCAGACCCACAGGGGTAAGGACGGTCCAGGTCCTTCCACAGCACAGCCACCCCCGGGGTCATCTCTGACCCACTTCTCTCCTACCACCCTCCTTAGTCGATCCCGGGGCCAACCCTGTGCCACCCCCAGCCCTCAGTGCCTGTCCTGGGGCCCTGGCTTCCCTCCACCCCGTCCCCTGCAGTCTGCCAGGCCCTGGACAGGACTCAGACCCACTGCCCACTCCAGGCCTTCCCTCCTCACTCTCAGAGCTGTGGTCTGTCTGTTTGTCTGTCTGTCTGTCTGACAGCAGGGCTTCCCGGCCCACAAGGCTGTGCTGCCCACTCCCGCTGACCGTCTCCTGGCTGCCCGCTCCTGCTGCCCATCTCCCACTGCCCACGAGGCTCTGCTGACCATCTCCCCGCTGCCCGCTCCCGCTGACCGTCTCCCCATTGCCCACTCCCACTGCCCAGCCACACTGCCCTTTGTCTTGCTCCCCCTTGCTCTGCCTCGGATGTTACTGCTCCTGGCCCAGCAGAGCCCCCAGGCAGCCCCGAGCCCCCACAGCCACCTTCTCCTCTCTCCCCCTGCCGCTCCCTCCCTGCACTTCCTCCAGACGCAGTGAGCAGACATTGGGGGACGGGGGGAAGCACATGCATGCATGCACGATGCCGCTTTCGGGGAGCCCCTGCAGAAAGGCCCCCGCCCCAAGGCAGAAGCACGCAGGGCGGCACGCTGGCTGGCACCCACCCCCTCAGGGAAAGCCTCAGGTGCCAGGGAAGGGGGGCAGACACCGCCCTGGCCCTGCCGGCCCCGCACCCGGAGCCAGGCCACTCACCATGATGCCGTTGTGGATGAAGCCACGGCGGTAGCGGGCTGGCTTTAGATGGGGGTACTCCTCGGTGCTGGTCACCCGGATGCCCCACACCTGCTTCCAGGCCTCGTAGAGCTGCACGTGCACAGGGTACACGCCCGAGTGGTGGGGCGCCACGGCGTAGCCCATGTCGGTGGGAATGCCATGCTCCTGGGGAGAGGAGGCAGGGCGGGGTGAGGGGGGCTCGCACCCTGGGCCTGATCTCCCTCGTAGAAGAGGAGAGTGAGGTTGGAGACCCCAGGGCCGAACAGGGGTCTATCCCGGAGGCCGGGAAGGGACTAGACAGCACACGGGGCCCCCAGCAGCCCAGAGAGTGGCGTCCCTCAGTTCTGGGGGGCTCGAGCCTCACCAGCAGGCAGGCAAGCCCCGCTCTCTGGAGCCCCGTGGCCTCCCGCACCCCGTCCTCGATTGCCAGTCCCACTGGGGGGCAGGGAGCCTCTTGAACGGCGGGAGCAGCCCGCCCACCCGCCCGCCCGCCCGCCTCCAGCTCTGCCCCACGGGGAATCTTACTCACGACAGCGAACTTCTTGTTCAGGGCCATCTGCTCAGCCAGCACCGACTGGTTGTGGAAGAGGTGCGGCTGCATGTGGCTCCACATGTGCGGGAACCACCAGAACTCCTTCACGTACGACAGCAGCAGGTCGTCCCCCGCGTCCTCGGCGTCAGTACCTGCGGTCCCCGCAGGCAGCTAGCTCAGCCAGGCAGCTCGCACCCGGAGTCCTGGGGTCACGGCAAGCGAGCGTGGCCCCGCCGGATGTGGGGGGGGGGAAGGCTGTGGCCGAGCCCCTCTCTGAGCCCAGGCACCCCGCCTGGACACGACTTGGCCAGTTCTGAGTCACGCCTGCTCCTGGCTGGGCCGTTCACTCAACTTTTCCTTTTCCTCTACAGTGGTGTGCGGAGGGGACACACCCAGCGCTGCTCAGGGCTGACCCCTGGGGGGCTCGGGGGGGACTAAACGGGCAGCAGGGCTCAGAACCCACTGTCCTCTCTCCCCGACCCTGTTCATCTTTCCCGTCTTTTTCCTCACCAGGCTGTTCCTGGAAGATGGATCTGTCCCTGTCTCGTGAAGGCCTGAGACTCCGAACCCCCAGGTGGCTGCCCCGGGGTGTTGGCCGGGCCTGGGGACAGCCTGCACACCTGTGCCCAGCCGTGGAGGGGAAAGGATTTGCTGAAGGCTGTTCTCCCAGACGCTGGGTGGGTGGGGAGCCCCGAGTAAGCACCCCAGCCCATCGCCTCAACCCCTCAGACCCAAGAATAAACCCAAAACAGTGGCTGAGTCCCTGAGGTCAGTCCACTGAGAGCACTTCCACATTCCAGGATATCTACGCATCTCTGTAGTGGTCTGAAGTGCCCGTCACTCTATGTGTGCGTGTGTGTGTGTGTGTGTGTGTGTGTGTGTGTGTGTGTGTGTGTGCGGGGGATGGGGAGGGAACGCAGCTGTGCTCAGTACTCCTGCGGACAGAACCCAGGTAGCCGTGCACAGGGAAAGGCCCCGCACTCGCATTCTTCAGCAGAAATAGCACAAGCGATTTTGAAAGGCGAGGCGGTGGCTGACAGAGACGTTCACGCCAGCCACGCAGGGGCCGCTGTGGCACAGTCGCCATAACCAAGTAGCCCCTGGGACCTGGGACCACAGGGTCGGACACGTCCCCAAGGCAGGTTCCCCCTGGGGACCCCTCGCCCCCGAGGAGGGGCCTTCCTGGATGAAGCTCGGGGGCCGGTTCTTACCTGTGTGGAAGAATTTCCCTGAGTAGCCCAGGTTGAAGGTGAAGTTCGGGATGTGTGTCCGCAGCTCGTTTTGCGTATCGAACAGGGCCTAGGGTGGGCAGAGGGGAGGAGGGGAGGGGTGAGGGGAGCCAGGGATGCTCAGGAGAGCACAGCCAGCTCCCAGGACTGCGGAGCCGGTGAAAAGAGAAAACATGGGGACCCCGCACACTCCAGAGTCGGGCTGGGAAGGTGTGGCAGTGGGGGGGAGGTTTGGGGGGGTGGGAGATGACCAGAGCCAGCCCTGTGCCCCTGCAAGGGAAGACCACCCCTCCGGCCCAGCCCTGCCGCGGGCCGCAGCTCCTGCGGGCCTCAGCTTGGCCTCCACTTCCCCAGGAGTGACATGGGACAGGAATCTATCCGTGGGCAGGGAGCACATGCTCTGCCCAGAGAAGGCCTGGAGGGCTCAGCCCCAGGCACCACGGGATGTGCCCACAAAACCGAAGAGTAACAACAGAAATAACAGCTATCATCACTGATGTCCTTGTGGTCATCGCTTTCTCCCACTCAGGGACTCCTAGGAGGATTCAATGAGAGGTTCCGGGTCAAACTGCCTGGGACAGGCCAAGCAAGTTCTGGCCGCGGCCACCAGGACCCTCCTGCCTCCTCGGGGACAGACGCAAGGCGAGGGGACCGTGAGCTTCCCAACATGTACTGTGTCCCAGCAGGCTCGACCTGTGCGCCCCCCCCTCTGCACTGGCCATCTGGTCCGTGGACGGGGGCCCTGAGGAGCTCGGGTGAGGATTCAGAAGTGTCCCTACACTCACCCCACTCAGGCAGCCACGAAGCCCACAGGAGTCCCGGCCCTCTGGGGTAACCGAGGCCTCTCAGTGGTGCCGGGTGCAGCCTGTCAGGCAAGCGTGCCTTCACCGGTGGCCTGGACATAACCCGGTGGGCACAGAACCACCAAGGGGAGGGCAGGCCCCTCCAGAAGCACCCTCGGTAGCAAAGGAGAAGCCGGACATGGCGGCTTCCGAGACGGAATCCACAGCAACCCTCGCCAAGCGCCCCGCCAATGAGGCGCATGAGTGACGGCCATGCAGGGGAGAGCCCTCTGCAGCCTCCTGCCTGCCCTCCCCACTGCCAGAAAGCAGCCCGCCGTTGGACCACAGGGGCACAGAGACAGGAGGGTACCCAATCGCAGCCCCCACCCCCCTCGCCCCCGACGACGATGACAACGCGAGTCCTCTACTCCACCCACTCGGGGCCAATCCCAGAGTGAGCTCAGGAGGACAGCGAGTCCCTGAGGAGAAAGGCTGGCTTGCCCGAGCCTCCTTGGCTGCCCTCCTCCTGCCGCAGACACATGGCTGGGCCCGGGCAGGCGTCTCTCCTGGAAGAGGATGAGGCGGTGGCAGGCAGCAGACAGACCTCGTCCCGGTTCCCCCGGGTGCCAGGGGTGTCGCCACCCCCCAGCTCTGCCCACACACCGTGAAGCTTGCGTCAGTGGTGAGCCAAACTGAGGAAACCCTGAGCTCACCACAGCTACGAGGAGCACTGCACATGCAGGGGAGAGATTTCCTCAGCCTCTCCCAGACAGACTTGGTGGCCCACCCTCCAAGGCATCTCTCCCAGTGAGACTCACAGGGTGCCCAAGTCTGTGGTTTGCAAAACGCTTCCACAGAACAGCTGAGATCCGGGGCGGGGGGGCGGGGGGATTGGGGGAGCACCTCCTGAGTTGGGGCTCTCACACCCCACTCCCAACAGACCCTCTGCTAAACCCAGCTCTGGCTCCCTTGGGGGAGTTCTGTCTGGTGGGGACAACACAGACATTCTAAGAGTTCAGGCCATGCCCAGGTTAGAAGGGCTCTAGGATAGGGGCTGGAGCGATTGCACAGCAGGTAGGGCATCTGCCTTGCACGTGGCCGACCTGGGTTCAATTCCCAGCATCCCATATAGTCCCCTGAACATCGCCAGGAGTAATTCCTGAGTGCAGAGCCAGGAGTAACCCCTGTGCATCGCCGGGTATGACCCAAAGAGCCAAAAAAAAAAAAAAAAAACCCAAAAAAAACTCAAAAAAACACAAACAAACAAAAAAAGGAAGGCTCTGGATCAACAACCTCACAGTGCCCATCTCATTTCTGCACCTGTGTCTCGGCCGCCCCAGGACAGTGTCCGGCCCCACCCTCCAGAGGCAGAACTCCCCCCCACCCCACCACTACCACCCGCCCCCCTCCCCCCATACCCCCGTGGCCGGAGGATGTCCCACATCACATCTGCTCTGGAGACAACAGGGCAAACCAGCTGCTGGCCGCCAAGGCTGGGCGTGGGCCCTCCCAGGAGTCGGCGGCTGGGCCCGTACCTTCACATCCTCCTTCTTCATGCGCGTGCCCTCCTTGCCCACGAAGATGTCGTCGATGTCCACCAGGATGTAGCGGTCCAGGGGCAGCGAGAGGCGCTTGCCGGTGAGGAAGGCCACGGCGTCCACGAAGATCAGCTTGTGCAGCCAGAAGTTGAGGGTGTTGCCGAAGAGCACGCGCTGGATGCCGTCGTGCAGGCCCAGGTCCTGGACCACCGTGGCGTGCAGCGCGGCGTGGAGGCCTGCGTCGGCGCCCAGGTGCGGGATGGACTCGGACGAGCGCGTCTTGGCCAGCAGCACCGGCTGGTAGGTGGAATGGTTGGACTGGAAGACCGTCCAGTCCTCGCCGGGCAGCACACCCTTGTCCACCTCGCTGGGCCGCGTCACGTAGAGCAGCGGGGACTTGGGGTTGATGCTGCAGTCCTTCAGGCCCAGGTTCGAGTGCAGGAACAAGGGGAAGCCCTTGAGCTGGGCGCTCAGGAGGCTGTTCTCGTTGGCCTGGAGGGAGAGGGTGGAAGGGGGGGATCAGAGCCGAAGGCCCCTGGGCGACGTCAACCATAACCACAGATGGCACAGACCCAGCCCCAGGTCCTGGAGAACCTCCACGCCCATGAGGGCTAAGCTGTGGAGTTTTTTGTTTTTGTTTTTCGTTTTTAATTTTTATTAGTGAAATACCATGAGGTACAATTGTAGACATACAAATTTTTGTGCTTGGGTTTCAATTATACAATGTTCGAGTACCCATCCCTCCACCAGTGCCCATTCTCCACCACCACTGATCCCTGTATCCCTCCCACCCCCCCATCCCCCCATCCCACCCTGCCTCTGAGGAGCACGCACTGGATGCCGTCCACGAAGGCATTTCCTTTTGTTCTCTCTCTCTCTCCTTTTGGGTGCTGTGGTTTGCAAGAGGCATTGAGTGGCAATCATGTTCGGTCTATAGTCTACTTTCAGCATGCTTCTTCCATCCTGGGAGGATCCTCCCAACATTTGGTGCTCCCTTCTCTATCTGAGCTGCCTTTTCCCCTAGCATGTGTAAGCCATGGAGTTTTGACCCTCTGTGATCCAGGCAGTCACAGGAGACATCGGCCACTTGACAGAGCCGCCGCCAATGTGCCGGGTAAGAAGAGGAAGAGGCGGGGGCCCAGAGAGGCAAGGCACTCGCCCAAACTCGAAGAGGTAAATGCAGCAGCTGAGGGCTGAACAGGGCTGCCCAGCACGGGCACGGGCCCGTCCTCCAACCTGTCTCAGGCTCCCCACTGCCACTGCTGGAAGATGAAGACTATGGGTGGGCAGGAGAGAGCTTGGGCCTGGCTTGCCTGGCCGTGTGGCCGACCAGATTTGACCCCCGGCTCAGCACGGGGTCCCCTGAGCCCACCAGGAGTGGTCCCTGAGCGCAGAGCCTGGCACCCACACATTTCACCGCCTGTGGCCAAGGGTATCAGAAATGCTACATGATCCCCAAATCTTAGCCTCTGGTGGATGCCAACACAGAGAAGAGCAGAGAGAGGTGGGGACAGTGTCCTGCCTTGCGCAACCTTTCAGCCCCCGCCTGCCCTGGGGCTCAGAAGTGCAGCCAGCCGGTATGGGTGTGTTAACTTTTCGGGTATCTCTCTCTCCAATCAGTATCCGTTCAAAGAGGTGGGGGCAGGGGGACTAGGGCATTCACACCTTTGGCCTCTGCTGTGTGGCCTCCACGGGGGCAAGCATGTTTGAGGAGTATGTGGACTGGGGGAGGAACCCACTACCAGCACTGCTAAGAAGGCCTGTGCTGGGGGAGCAAAACCAGTCTCCCACCACGCAAAGCACATGCCCTGAGCCAATTCCTTACTCGTGTGTGTGTGTGTGTGTGTGTGTGTGTGTGTGTGTGTGTTACTGGGTCACACCTGGTGGTGCTCAGGGCTTACTCCTGGCTCTGGGCTCAGGGATCTCTCCTGGTGGGAATAAGAGGACTGCATACAGTACCAGGAATCAAATTAGGGTCGGCTGCATACAAGGGAAGGACCCTACCTGATGTACTATCGCTCCAGCACCGCCCCCCCCATAAATACATTCCTTAAAAAAATATTAAGAGAGCTGGAGCGAGAGTCCAGGAGGTAGGGCACTTTCTGTGTACGCAGCCAACCTGGGTTTGACTCCTGGCATCCCATATGGTGCCCCAAGCACCGCCAGGAGTGATTCCTGAGTCAGAACCAGGAATAACTCCTGAGCATGGCCCACCCCACCCCTTCCCCCAAAAAAGAATGAAAGAGGGCTAGAGTGATAGTACAGGGGTTACCATCTTTCATGCCAGCAGCTCTGCGCATGATCTACCGAGCGCTGTCAGGAATGATCCCCGAGCACAGAGCCAGGAGTGAGCCCTGAGGACAGCGAGATGTGGCCCCAGCACCAAAAATAAATAGGATGAAAGGGGATCAGACAGCTCCCCTGGACCTGGCACCTTACTGCTGGTCAGAGCAGGCTGTTTGTTCATTGCACAACCAAGTCAGGAATAAACAGTTCCTGAGCACTGCCGGATGTGGTCCTGAGAAACAAAACAAGAGCAGCAGAGACAGAGACCCTGAGGGAGGAAAGGGCTGAGCCAAGTCAAGAAACAGCAAGAGGGGCCGGAGAGAGAGCACCGAGGTGACAGTGCAGGCCATGCAATCAACAACTCTGGTTTTCAAACCCCCCGCACCACACCTGGTTCCTCAAGCCCTGCTAGGAGCTACCCCTGGATCCCTAAGCACTGCTGGGGTGGCCCCAAAAAAAACTGGAAGAAAGAAAGAGAGAAAGAGAGAAAGAAAGAGAGAAAGAAAGAAAGAAAGGAGGGAGGGAGGGAGGGAGGGAGGGAGGGAAGAAGGAAGAAAGAGGGAGGGAGAGAGGAAGGAAGAAAGGAAGGAGGAAAGGAAGAAAGAAAAGGAAGGAAGGAAGGAAGGAAGGAAGGAAGGAAGAAAGGAAGGAAGGAAGGAAGGAAGGAAGAAAGAAAGAAAGAAAGAAAGAAAGAAAGAAAGAAAGAAAGAAAGAGAGAGAGGTCAGCAGAGTGGTCATGAGGAAGGGCAAAAGGGTGGACAGGTCAGTGGGAAGACCCGCAAGGCCCTGGAGGCTGGAGGAGAAGCCACCAAGAACCTCATCCAAGGGCTCTCAGCATGGGCCCCTCCCATTCACAGTCTCCCAAGTCCCACCTGAACGTGTATGGAGAAGACATGTGTCGGACCAGCAGACAGGGGGCCCTGGAGATGCAGCCAGGTGGCCACTGTCCAGGCCACTAAGCAGCAGCTGAGCCTGCCTCGCCGCACAGCACCCCTGCACGGCTGCACGTGCCTGGGAGCGGGGCTGGTACTGGTGCCCCCAGGCAACCGTGCTTCTTCCCCATTCCCACAGAGCTGAACCACCATAAGGCACCTGCATCCCATCTGCACGGCCCAGAAGTTCCCACCAGCTGCCCGCTGTCCGGGCCATTGCACAGTGCCCCCTCACCCCCATACCACAGGCCCCCACCCCCCACCCCTGGCCAGAACCCGCCAGGCAGTGGGATGCCTACAGGGAAAGACCAAGAGCGCAGGACATGGCGGGCTGCCGTCACCGAGATCCATTTCAAAGCCCCGACACTCTGGGCCTGCCAGCTCTCCCGCTGGGAAGCAGCAAGAAAGGGACCCGGCCAAGCTGCGGTCATCCACCCCAGTGGGCAGTGAAAACAACCAACAGAGGACGAGACGGGCAGGAGCCAGGGTGGGGGAACGACCCCTCCGAGGCCTCACCCAGGGAGGGGGCCCACTCGGGAGACCCCGAGTCTGACCGGGCCTAGCAGAGAAGCCCTAGGAGGGTCCGGGAACCAGCCCGACGACCGGGGGCCCGTCTGCACTCAGGGGCTGGGCTCCCCCTCTACTCGCTCTGCGTCCACGTGCTGATGGGGGCTGGGTCACGCACTGGGTCAGGAGGTGGACGGCCTAGACAGCTCAGCTTTCTGCGTCTCATTCCTTACCTGAGCGCCAAGTGAGCGCCCGGGGAACTGGGAGCCGGCATTCTGCGCTGACATGCTCAGCCCCAGGACCTGACTGGCCAGGGAGCACTGAGTGAGGAAGGTCCCTGCCCTCCAGGACTCCTGGGTGGCACATGAGACACAGAGGTGGCAGTGACAGAGCATGAGAGCATCCTTGCCCACCGCCTTACGGAGCTTTAGCACGGCACCGAGAGGTGGGGACTGTGCTGGCCCCCCTGCGGAGACGGTCACTCTGCATCCAAGTGATGACCTAAGTCAGGGTACAGCTAGCTCTCCAGTCCCTTCTCTCTCCTGTCGGCCCAGTGCCAGTGGGAAAGGGCCCCCGGGTGGAAGTCTCGGGATCCCAGTGGGAATGCACCCCCGGGTGGAAGTCTCAGGATCCCTGAGGTCTGCAAGTTGTGCAATCTAGGCATGGGACTGTGCCAGCCTTGGAGAAAAAGCCGAGAGGTGCGACCTGACCAGCAGAGGGCGCTCACTAGAGCAGCCGGTCCCAGCACACAGGCAGACGGCAGACTGGCCTTTTAAAGAACTGACACCAGGCTCAGGAGGACCAACGATCCCTGTCCACGGCCTGGTCCCCAGTTTGGGGAAGATGAGGGGCTAGATCCAGAGACTTCCAGTTAAGACTGCCTGCAGGGACCTGCACACAGGGGTTCAGCCCTGAGCAACACCAGGGGGTGCCCAAGCACAGAGCCGGGAGGAGGACCCCGGCCCCACTGGGGCTGGCCCACAGGCCCAAACCAAACAAAGCAGAAGGGCCGCGGCATCCAGAGTCACACTCGGGCCCCTGTTTCAGGGCTGGAGCCCTGCAGGAACCTTGGGGGATGGCGGACTCGTCCACCTGAGACGAAGACACTGATGGCGCCAGGGGGGACAGTCCACCAACGTCAGCCCTGGCACCTCTCTCAAGACCTGCAGCTCTGAACCTAAACAAGTTCACGGAGCAGCAGTGCAACAGGGAGGGCGTTCACCCAGCATGCAGCCAGCCCAAGTTCGGGTGCTCAGTAAGAAGCCAGGAAGCCACGAGGCTCTGTCCCTTGGGCCTGGACGGTGGGTTTCTCAGGGCCCACTTAGTCCCTCACCTCTCTGCCCCTTCCCTGCTTGTTCTCTTTACTGCCCGCCACCCTGTCTGTGTATGCGGCCACTGCCTATAACCTGCCCTGCCCTAAACCCCAGGCCCAGGCGAGCCACGACTCGGTCCATCCCCACCTCCACCCTGTCCCCAGAGCCCGGCATGGGACGTGGCACACAGGAAGTGCTAAGCAAGTGAACGCCAGCTGAGTGAAGGAACAGACATCTCCAGTGGCCAGGGAGTGGTACAGGGGTTAAGGCACACCACATGGCCCACCCTGCTGAGAGCCCCCGCATTACACAGTCCCCCGGGCACTGCCAGGAGCCACCCCAACCACCCGCATTCCTCCTCCTCCTCCTCCTCCCAGGCACAGTGAAAGCGGCTGGGGAAGGGGGGGGGGGGGGGTGATGCAAGAACTCTACACACACACACACACACACACACACACACACACACACACACACACACACAGAGACAGCTGGAAAGAAAGGTCACGGCCCCGGGGCCACAGCAGGCTGGGCTCACAGCCGCCCTCCCCTCCCCTGCCCTGCACCCACCTTGAAGAAGCCGATGATGCCCACGCCGTAGGCCACACAGTACTTGTCCAGCAGCTCCCGGTTCCAGGCGTCCAGGTTGACATACTTGAGGATGTTCTCATAGATGATGAGGGCAAAGCGGCCGCGGCCCTTGTCGGTGAGGGTGGGCATGTCGCCCTTGCCCGGCGCGATCTCGGTGCGGTACTTGAAGCGGCTGGACTCCAGGATGGCCACCACCTCCTGGCCCAGCTGGGAGTAGAGGCTCTCCACAAACACCAGCACCGAGGGGTCCGTGCGGGAAGGGGTGACCGGCTGCACGGGCTTGAGGGGAAGCAGGCGGCTGGGGGCCACGGGTGGGGGGTCCCCGCCGCCCCCGCCTCCGCCGCCGCCACCGCCACTGTCCAGCTCCACGGCGTCCGCCGAGGGCTCCAGGCCCCGCTTCCAGCCATACAGGTAGTAGGCGGAGACAAAGACGCTGAACAGGCAGAAGACGAAGAGCAAGAAGAGCACGGCCTGGGGGGACAGGTGCCGACGCAGCCTGCGGAGGCACGCCAGGGCGGGCATCCTGGCCCCCAGGCCTCGGCCGCCAGAGTCCGGCCGCCCTGGCCACCCCGAGGGCCTGCGCAGAGTCGTCCACGGAGCAACAGAGTCACAGAGACGTCGCGGAGGAGGCCCTGAGCGGGCAGCGGGAACGGAGGGTCCAGGCCCCGGCCCTTCCTCAGCCGGGGGCACAGTCTGCAGGCTGGGTGCGCTCCTTCCTGCCTCTGCGCCCCTTTATGTCACCATTGCAAACCCCCACGTGGTCCTGTGCACCGCAGAAGTGCCCCAGGGCATCAGGGCCTCCTGGGGGGGCTGGGCAGGAGACCGAAGGTCATCGGGGAGCTCCGGGGATGGTGCATGCTGTTCGCCGGTGGGGGGATCGGAGCAAGGGCTGTGGAGAGAAGGGGGGGGTCAGAGTCCGGGTCAGGATCAGGGCTGGGGCTGGAGGCATCACTGGCCGCAGGGAGCGGGGCCCACGGTCAAGCCCAGAAGCACGATGTGAGGCCCGCTTCCGCACCCCGAGTCTCCCTGCCGGGAAGAGAGGCTGACGGGAGCAGGCGCCCACTGCAACAGACCATTCCCCCAGTGCGGGCCCTGGCATACGCATCCTAGGAGCCAGGCACCCATGTCCAGGCCACACCGGGATGCCCCAGAAGCCAGAAGGACAAGAGAGACAAAACGCATCCGTGAAGCCCAGGAACCCTGCAGAACTTGGGGTTCCTGCCTCCCCTCGGGCGCCCCACAGACGTCATCTATATGGGCATCAGTGCATCTATACCACTGCACCAGGGTCTCAAGTTCTTCACCTCCAACTATTCTCCGCCGCCCCCCGCCCTCCATCCTCCCCTAAACTGAGTGGGGGCAGCTGACAGCTGGGGGGGTCTCCTCATGGGGGCCCGGGACAGAGGGCCAGGGGGGAAACGGATCTCCCAAATCCCTGCTGGGGTCCAGGAGACGGTTCAGAGGCTCAGCCCATGCTTAGCATACGGGAGGCTCTGGTCCATCCCTGACTCTGCACAGTCTCCAGGTCACCACCAGGAGCGACCCCCATCACATCAGGTGCAGCCCCAGACCAAAAATGAATGAAGTGAATAAAGGGGCAAAGCCCTTCCCCAGGACAGCCCCCGGGGCTGCGTGGTGCGTCCCCCAGGGGCACAGGACTCCAGTGTCCATGGGAACCTTCTCGCCAGGGCAGCCACGGCGGAAGTGGGTCGGCCTGGCCCCAGGAACACAGCTCTCCGCAGCGCTGCAGGGGGGTGCCCACCACGCGTGACCACTCGGCACAGAGCCACGCCAAGTCAGCCCCGAGCAGGGCAGAGAGTGGCCATCCCCCCACAGGACACACGCTTCCCGCGCTGTTTCCAACAGCAGAGGGTGGTGCTGACGGCAGCAGTCGCCAACAACAGAGGCTTGTCTTCAGCGAGTACAATGCAGAGCACGTGATGCCATGGTGGGCTCGCGCGGGCCCAGGCAGGACGCTCGCTGATTCGTGTATTATACAGTTACGGAAGATATTTATAAAACTCTGGCCAGATTTCTGCTAATTTTTTTCCTCTTTTTTCTTTTTTTTTTTCTTTTCAGCAAAACAAGGTAAGTTTCTGTCGAAAGAAACTTGCTTAGAAGGATGTGAGAGAAAGAGAGGAAAGATGTGCTCAAGGGAGAACAAGAACATGGGCTTCTCCAGAGTGGAGCAAGCAGAGGCAAGAGACAGGCTCCAAGGGGACCTGAGCCCCGAGGGCAAGAAGAGCAAGACTCTGGGGCCGGAGGGATAGCACAGCGGGCAGGGCATTTACCTTGCACGCAGCCGACCCAGGTTCAATCCCTGGCATCCCATATGGTCCCCTGAGCACCGCCAGGAGTAATTCCTGAGTGCAGAGCCAGGAGTGACCCCTGAGCATCACTGGGTGTGAGCCAAAAGGCAAAAAAAAAAAAAAAAAAAAAAAAACCAAAAAATCAAAGAGCAAGGCTCTCCAATTTCCATGCACTGGTACCAAACCCAAAAACAATCCTTAATGACGATCTCTGAGTAATAGTTCTTTTTTTTTTCTTTATCAAATCAAATCACTGTCCTCCCGTTGTTCATCGATTTGCTTGAGCGGGCCCAGTAACATCTCCATTGGAGACTTTGTTGTTACTGTGTCTGGCATATGGAATACGTCACGGGGAGCTTGCCAGGCTCTGCCGTGCGGGCGAGATACTCTCGGTAGCTTGCCGGGCTCTCCGAGAGGGGCAGAGGAATCGAACTCAGGTCGACCGTGTTGGCTGCGTGCAAGACAAACGCCCTACCACTGTGCTTTCTATGATAATCCTATTGTTTCTCTCAAGCGGGCCCAGAAACATTGTGAGACTTGTTACTGTGTTTGGCATATCGAATACGTCACGGGGAGCTTGCCAGGCTCTGCCGTGCGGGCGAGATACTCTCGGTAGCTTGCCGGGCTCTCCGAGAGGGGCGGAGGAATCGAACTCGGGTCGACCATGTTGGCTGCGTGCAAGACAAACGCCCTACCACTGTGCTTTCTATGATAATCCTATTGTTTCTCTCAAGCGGGCCCAGTAACATTGTGAGACTTGTTACTGTGTTTGGCATATCGAATACGTCACGGGGAGCTTGCCAGGCTCTGCCGAGCGGGCAAGATACTCTCGGTAGCTTGCCGGGCTCTCCGAGAGGGGCGGAGGAGTCGAACTCGGGTCAGCCATGTTGGCTGTGTGTAAGGCAAACGCCCTACCTGCTGTGCTATCGCTCCAGCCCCATTGTTTCTCTGAAATAATAAAACAGTAATTTTGGCTTGGGGGCCATACCCAGCTGTGCTCTGCACTCAGGACTCACTCCTGGCAGGTCTTAGGGGATCATATGTGATGCCAAGGATCGAACCCAGGGTGGCTGTGTGCAAGGCAAGTGCCCGACCCTCTATACTCTCTCCAGTTCCAGAAAATGACATTTTAAAAAAGCTGTGCCCATGTGGCTTGAGCGATAGTACAGCGGGTAGGGCATTTTCCTTGCATGCAGCGAGTTCGATCCCCGGCATCCCATAGGATCCTCCGAGCACCGCCGGGAGTAATTCCTCAGTGCAGAGTCAGGCATTCCCCTAAGCATCACCGGCCGGATGTGACCCAAAAAGGGGAAAAAAAGAAAAAAAAAGCTGTGCCCATCCACGAGGCAAAGCCTGGGACTCCAGGCCTGCTACTGGCCAGGCTCAGCAGGCAGCCGCCCTACATGGGTCTCTGCCCATCACAGGGATCCTTGGGCAGCACATCTGGGGCTCTTCTTCTCTGACGTTCAATTGACAGCTCCAGGCAGCAAAGCAAGCAGGCACTTACAGTTCCCGGGGAAGTGGAGGGAAGAAGCTGAGTGGGGCAGGGAGGCTTCCTGGAGGTGACGCCTGAGTGGAGAAAGCTGTAAGGGAGGACACCAGGCCACACCCTGGAGAGCCCAGGGACGTGAAGAACCTTCCAGAATGGCCTACACTTGCAGGAGAGCAGGCGTGAACGTGGGTTGCTCACTGGCCGTGCTGAGGATCACGGGCAGGACAGCTCCACCCTCTGTCAGGAGCACAGCCGGTGGGGAAGCCTAGGTGCCCCGTGCCACCTGCCCCCCACCCCAGTACCTACCCCGAGACCCGCCTTTTGGCGTGAGTGTTAATGCATCCAGCAGCCACAGGCATCTGGGGGTCACGGACCCCTGTGGGACTCCAACAGCATTTTCCCATGGAAAATATGCACAAACGTTCAAAATGCCATTCACAATTCAAGGAGCCCGGCCCCCAGCCCACGCCACCACGGACCTAAAACTCCCCACGAGCACGAACGCAGCTGCCAGCCAGGCCAGGCAAGCACCCCCCAAACCTCAGCGCCCCGATTCAGTTGTGGGGTCCTGAACAAGTGAAGTCATGTCTTTGTGGCCCCGTTTCCTGAGCGGCATCATAGGAAACTGTGACGTCTTGGCAAAGTGGGCTGACCCATAACACAGTGGCAGAATTGGGAAGAAAAGACTCAGCAGAAACCACGCGGCACTCTCTCTCTCTCTCTCTCTCTCTCCATCTCTCCTTCTCTCCCTCCCTCTCTCTCCCACTCTCTCGCTCTCCTGCTCACTCTGTCTCTCTCCCTCTCTTGCTCCCTCTCTTTCGCTCTTGCTCTATCTCTCCCTCCCTCCCTCCCTCCGTCCTTCTCTTTCTGTCTCTCTGTTTATCTCTCTCTCTCTATCTCTATCTCTCTCTCTCTCTCCCCTGCTCTCTGCACCCCTCCCCAGCCTGGGACCATGACTTTCTAAGCCAAGAGCAGCCCCCAGTGCTGCTTCCCTGGGGCCCTACCACAGCATGTTGAGGCTGGGGGCGGGGATGAAGAACTTGGGAGGCTTCTCCCTGTGTCCCACTCACTGGCCTTGCCCAGTCAGCCCTGTATCCAGTGTTTGCTAGTGAAGGACCCTCTGCCTGCCTGCTCCCCAACTGGGCACACATGCTCCCCTTCCTGGCCTCCAGGGCTCTCGGTCCATCTCCAGACCACCCCAGTCCTTCTCTCACGGGCCCTGCAGAGCCATGGCTGCAGCCATGCCTCAGGCCAGCGCAGCCCTCTCCCTCTTTAGCCTGAAATCAGCCGTCCCCGTTTTCAGTCAGGACCTGGGCCAGAGACACAGGACAGAGGCTAAGGCACTTGCCCTGCATGCGGTGGACCCCAGTTCCATCCCAACACTGTCCCCCAAGTGGCACCGGGAGTGACCCTTCAGCACAGAGCCAGAACAGCCTCTGAGCACCTCTGGGGGTGGCCCACCCCTCACTCCCAAATAATAATAAAACAAGCCCGCAAAACAGAACCAGGACCTAGCAGAAAAACTCAGAGTATATAATGTCTCCTGAGAGAGGGAACATTCTGGGACTCTGGGCCCGCCTGCACGGGCCTCATCTCCTGGTCTAACTCCGTCCCCAGCCTACCTCCTCCTTTTGTTTAGCCTCTGCCCGAGCATAACAAACCTCCAAGCAGCTGCTTCCAGCAGCCTGCGGTTCCTAGCAGGCCCACGCCTCGCAGGCTCTGCCTCCGTCAGCACACACGCCCTCCACGAGAGCCCGGCCACCTCATTCCCACGCCTCACACCAGGAGCAGGGCCTCGCCGGATGCCCAGACGGCCACTGTTACCCATCCCCAGGGCAGCAGAGCTCGGGGACTCCCCATGGTCCCACAGGAAACCGCCACACCTCCACTCCAGCAGGTTCCCTTCCTGAATCCCGAGCTGTCTGTAATTTCAGATGACAATAGTGCCATTACGAGGATGATCAGCACCACTTTTCTCTGCTGCCGTATAATAAACACCTACGTGTAAGGACCATGCGAAGCACTTGTACGCACCTTATCCCACTTAATCCTTAAAATGAACACTGCCTTTAACGCACACTTACGGTG